GCTTCTTCTCCTGCTTCTGCTTCTTCCCTGCTTCTGCTTCTGCTTCTCCTTCTTCCCTGCTTCTGCTTCTCCTTCTTCCCTGCTTCTGCTTCTGCTTCTCCTTCTTCCCTGCTTCTGCTTCTGCTTCTTCTCCTGCTTCTGCTTCTTCCCCTGCTTCTGCTTCTGCTTCTTCTCCTGCTTCTTCTGCTTCTGCTTCTTCTCCTGCTTCTGCTTCTTCTGCTGCTTCTTCTGCTTCTTCTTCTGCTTCTCCTGCTTCTGCTTCTGCTTCTTCTCCTGCTTCTGCTTCTTCCCTGCTTCTGCTTCTTCCCTGCTTCTGCTTCTCCTTCTTCCCTGCTTCTGCTTCTGCTTCTTCTCCTGCTTCTGCTTCTTCCCTGCTTCTTCTTCTCCTTCTTCCCTGCTTCTGCTTCTGCTTCTTCTCCTGCTTCTGCTTCTTCTCCTGCTTCTGCTTCTTCCCTGCTTCTGCTTCTTCCCTGCTTCTGCTTCTCCTTCTTCCCTGCTTCTGCTTCTGCTTCTTCTCCTGCTTCTGCTTCTTCCCCTGCTTCTGCTTCTTCTCCTGCTTCTTCTGCTTCTTCTTCTGCTTCTTCTGCTTCTTCTTCTGCTTCTCCTGCTTCTGCTTCTGCTTCTTCTCCTGCTTCTGCTTCTGCTTCTTCTTCTGTTTCTGTTGCTTCTTCTTCTGCTTCTTCTTCTGCTGCTTCTGCTTCTTCTGATTCTGCTTCTCCTTCTTCTTCTGCTTCTTCTGCTTCAAGTAACTCTCATCCTTCTCCTAGAACCAGTGGACTGGCTGAAGCATGCTTGTTTTTCCCCCTCCCCCACACCTCATGGCAATTTCAGAGGCACAAGAAAGAAACATATAAGACCTTTTGAGGCTTAGGCTCAGAGCTGGTCCAGCATAACTTCCTTCTTATTCTATTGGCCAGAATAAGTCATATAGCTGAACTCAAAGTCAAGGATCAGCCCAATGAAAAGGCAAAGGCACTGGTACATGGAAGGGTAGAAATTGAGTTCAGTAATGTAATTTCTCCCAAGTCCAAGGACTGAGTCCATCCTGGACCACTTACCTTTAAAAGGTAAGTTTGAATTCTACACCTACCCTACCAGCTCCCCCCCATACACATCTAATCAGGGGTCAAACATAAAGATTACCCTAGACATTATCTTAACCATTGCTCCCCATTGCCTAAAGGAACTTTCCTGAAGGCATTCATTCTTTGATTTTTGTCAAAGGAATGAAAACATTGACTCCATAGTACCAGTTACAAAGAAAGTACATAGTTACAAAGAAAGTCTGTGGTGAGATGGTCCCAGATGCCAAAGTATGCCTTGTAATAGTCTGAATACAAAAAAAAAAATACTGAGAGCAAATGTTAAGGAGCCATCTGTATATGAAATTGAAAACCACTCGACAGCAGCACCTGCTAAGATATCTTACATGAATTGGTGAAAATGGACCGCACAGACCTCAGAATGTCAGCAGCATGCAGCAGGCTCTAATTTTCAGTAAACTACATGAGTTGGGATTTTTTTTCCAAGCTACTAAGATATAGAATATGCATTTTTCTTTGTTTGGGGAAAGATTTTTTTTTCCTAAACTGAGATAACTGTTGAATAAATATATTTTAAAAATTCCAAGCTTTTAAAATATTTTTGGAAGTAAGGACATCTGAGGAACAATTTTGAAAAATGTAATCCGCTATTATCAGCTTAGTCTACAAGCCTAGATTTTTGAAAAATAGTGGATCAGTAAATGTGGTAATAGTACTCATACCCTATCTTATATTTTAAGCTGCTTTTGCTAGATCTAGAGATTTTAGGAGCTGAAGAAGCCTTAGAGATCGTAATCACCTAATTTTATAGATGAAGTAACAGAGGCCCAGAGAGGTTAACCTGATTCTTTTGAAAGTACAGGAACTGAATCATGTGAGTTGTGATCCAGGGGCAAGTGACACAAAGAGGTAACTGAGAGGAGTTTACCCCACCTCCTCTACATCTATCCCCATACTCTCCAGGCACCCCATATGACCCCCTCCTCAGTAAATATACAAACTAGTAAAAACTGTGATTTACTGCTCAACCGAAGCTTCCAGACAAGGCCCCTGGGTGCCCTTACCCCTCTCCCAGCCCAGGGTAGATATCCTGGATTGGTCACTGTCCACTTACAAGAACAACCTTCCTTCTCTATCACCAGTGGGATCTTGAAAAACTGGAAGATTTGTTGGTATCTTGCTGTTTCTTTTATTTCCTTTACTTTATCTTCCTGTGTCTTTCCCTATCTGATCTGCATATAGGGCCAATTTTGGAGTTAGTGTTCCTATTTGTCTGTGGGAAATAATACATCTCTTCTTCCCTGTAGGTACTAACTAGTTGGCCTATTTAAGCTTAATTTCTTCCTGGGAGATTAACAACTCTTCTTCTTCGTCGTCTTCTTCTTCATCTTCGTCTTCGTCTTCTTCTCCTTCTCCTTCCTCTTCTATTATTATTAGTTTTGGCTAGTGTCTTTTCCAGCAGCAACAGCAGCAAGCACATGGGTCTCCAAAGTCCTTTCTGGGACTAATGTGCTGCTTTTCTATTTTCTATTTTAGGGGACCATGAGAAGTTCAGAAGGTGACTAATTTGCATACTCAACCTCAAACAATATCTAAAATTCAACATAATCAAACTCAGGTTCTTACTGCTGCTGTGAAAGATAAACAAAGCTAGACACCAGTTACAATGGTAAAGACAGATATTAATCTGTAATATACTATTGCAATAGGCAAGAGGGTCAAATGCAAACTGACCTCAATGTCAATTTGTACAGAGGTGACTGGGCATTTTAAAGGGAGAAGAAAGGGAGGTGAACAGGGGCTCAGTAGAGTCAGAGAAGTGACAAATTACAGAAGGGTGGTCAGTGTAAATGTTGACAGGCCAGTTGTGACGGTTAGCTGACAATTATTAAAGTTAGGATTCTACCCTCCCACAGACACTGGGAAACAGAGGCTTTATTCTTCCTGATGATTACATTTTAAAGGAATAATTTTCAGGCCAGAAAGACACTACTGAATTATAGGAGATACATACACATCTCAAAGGGACAGGAGAAGGATTCACAATTGTAGGCTATTTATTTATTTATTTATTTATTTATTTTTGTAGCCCCCCCCCTTTTAAATTTCTTTTCAGTGTTCCAGAATTGTTTACGGACCACACCCAGCACTCCATGCAATATGTGCCCTCCATAATACCCACCACCAGGTTCACCCAACCTTCCACCCCACTCCCCTCCAAAACCCTCAGTTTGTTTCACAGAGTCCACAGTCTCTCATGGTTCGTCTCCCCCTCCAATTTCCCCCAACTCACTTCTCCTCTCCATCTTCCCATGTCCTCCTCCTTATGCTCCACAAGTAAGTGAAACCATATGATAACTGACTCTATCTGCTTGACTTATTTCACTCAGCATAATCTCTTCCGGTCCCGTCCCTGTTGATAGTTGGATTGAAAGTTGGGTATTCATCCTTTCTGAAGGAGGCATAATATTCCATAGTATATATGGACCATATGGTCAGGGGCCTATTTTCAGGTTGGCTAGAACAAATAGTAAATTCTTTTGGCAGCATTGAGTTTTCTCAGGCAGACACTTGAAGGGGGCCTGGGGTCATCCTAGGGATTTGGCCTTGAGCTGTTAGAAACTATGTTACTGTTTGTTTAAGTCATTTAATGGAGGGCTAGGAGAGTGGATTAAATCATTTGTGTTGAGAATTTGTAGTTTTTAATAGGCTGAGGTTGAGATGTACTTGATAAGAGGGTTTAGAGGAGACTGGCTAGTTTAATCACGGAGAGAATGTTTCTCACTGAGTGATTTTAGTACATGTCATTTTTTTACTTAAAAAAAGACACTTATTTGCCAAAGCCTCTGTTTCTTTATCTGTAAAATAGGAATATTAACATCCCATGCAGCTCTCAGGAGCATCTGGTACAGTGCTGTCCAACTGAAATACTGTGCAAGCCTCACATGCCATTATCTATGTCCTCTGGGCCACAGTAAAAAAGAAAAAAAAAGAAAGAAAAGAAAAAAGTAGAAGTAAACAGTAGAAGTTAATTTTTTAAAAAAGATTTTATTTATTTATGAGAGGGCACAAACATGGGGAGCAACAGAGGGAGAGGGAGAAGCAGGCTCCCCGCTGAGCAGGGAACCAGAAAAGGGGCTCCATCCTGGGGCCCTGGGATCGTGACCCCAGCTCAAGGCAGACACTTAACCGACTGAGCCACTCAGGCGCCCCTACAGTAAAAGTTATGCTAATTATTCAATTTATTTACCTAATATATTCAAAATATCATTTTAACATGTAACCAATATTTTAAAATTAATGGGAGATTTTACGTTGTTTTCGTCCTAAGTCCTTGAAATCCGGTGTGTACAGTCTTATACACTTTACAGCACCTCAAGTGCGCCCAGCCACGTTTCTAGCTTTCAGCAGCCACGCGTGGCTGGCTCCTACCCTGGACTGCGGAGGTCTAGACAGCCGATCACACGCGCCTCGCTGACGTAAGGGGCGGGTCTTAGGCAGGTCGGGGCGGAGCTTCCGGGAGAGCGCGTTTGGTCCCTCCCCGGCTCCCGTAGGAGAGCTCCAGCCGTGGCGGCGCCACGTCCCCTGCGGCGGCGGGAGAAAGATCAGTGGGGCCTCGGGGCGGCTCCGGGAGGCCATGGCCTTTACGTTGTATTCGCTGCTGCAGGCGGCCCTGCTCTGCGTCAATGCCATCGCGGTGCTGCACGAGGAGCGCTTCCTCAAGAACAGTGAGTGGGACCGCGGGGCCGGGCTGAGGGGGCGGCGGAGCCCGGGGGGTGCGGAGCAGAGGTGGGCCGCGGGAGGGGAGACCCTGGGCCGCGACCGACGGGAGCCCGAGGACTCCACTCTTGGCGGCCCTTCCTTGGAGGGAGGAATCCGAGCCACTTCCGTCTCACCGAGTTTGAGCTCAACAGCGGGACGAAGATTAACAGATGTCGCCTGTGTGCGGGACCCCGGGAGTTGGGATGGGAAGGGGTACAGAGAAGAGCCAGGGACGCCTCTGACTGCGATTAGTTTAGCTTAGTAATTCAGTGCCCTCCTCTGTGATCGCTTTTAATGATCAGGAACCTAGGGTCTGAGGTTTTAGTTACAGAGGGAGGGGCGTGGCTCATTTTGGAGCACGGGCAATTGAAGAATGAACTGATGGAGGGCCATGGGGATTCCTGGTGTTTGAGGCTAGGTGGAAGGGGAGGGTGTTCAGATTATCATGGCATCCAAACACCCACGTTCCAAGAGAAGTTTATTCAGCCCAGTTTATTGGATGTCTTCAGTGTGCCAGGCTAGAATCAAAGAATACTAAGATGAAGACACAATTATGCCTGTCATCCCACACAATACGGCGATTTCCATGCCATCCCGGGCGGGCCACTAATTGCTGTATGAGGCAAAATTAAGACAGGATACTGCACGAGGTGCATCATTTGCGCAAGTATACCTAATCACAGAATACACCGTCATTTGTAAGTATGCCAAATATGTCTCTCTGAGACACGGAAACCCAATCCCATGAGCAAGACTGATTCATTTCATTTATTCCTTCAGATTTACTGAGCACAAATTTTGTGCCGAGCCGATGTAATTAGGAGGTGAGGTTACAGCAGTCATTTGCTCTTCTAATGAAAGTTAAGTAAAAAACGAGCAAGTAACAATGACAAGTATGCAGAATATTATGAAAGAGAAGTGCAGGGAAGCACTAACTTGTGAACCTTTGAAAGCTTTGTGGAGGAAGTGTGTTTAACCCAAAATCTAATAAGTGAGTAAACATTAATCAGGTGAAGGGTTGGGAGTGTGAGGAGTAAGAGCTCTTGTGAAAACTGGGGCAGGTGAAAATGAAGTTTTAAAGTTTTAAGCAGGGCAGAGACATGATCGGATTTGTCTTATTTGCAAGAGCCTTACTGCAGTGTGGAGAACAGATTGGAAAGGTAGAATAATGGGTGTGGGAAGCACCATTCCAAACAGGGCAAGTAGAATGGTGGGTATAACATCAGTTGAGTGGGTACAATAATAGTAACAACTAACACTTAATACCACATACCAGGATCTGTATCAAGAGCTTTACATATATATTAACTTGTATGACCCTCACAACAACCCTATGCGATAGGTACTGTTTTCATCCCCACTTTGCAGATGGGAAACCAGAAGTACAAAAGAAGAGTGGGTAACTTTTCTATGATCACACAGTTAGAAAGTGACAGAGCTAGGATTTACCAAGGCATTCTGACTCAAAAGTCCATCTCCTCACTACTATAGAATACAGAAAAGTAGGAGATATGTGGGGGTTGAATTGTGTCCCTCCAAAAGATACATTGAAGTCCTAACCCTTGGTACCTGTGTAGGTGACCTTATTTGGAAATTGGGTCTTTGCAGATGTAATCAAGTTGAGATAAGGTCACACTGAATTAGGATGGCCCTAGGTCCAGTGATGTGTCCATGTAAGGAGAGAGAGATACAAAAACATAGGGGAAGAAGGCCAAATGACAACAGAGGCAGAGATTAGAGTGATGCAGCAAGAAGCCAGAGAATGCCAAGGATTGCCAATAACTACCAGCGCATTGAGAGGCATGGATGAGATCTTCAGAGCCCACAAAAGGAACCAGCTCTGCTAACCCCTTGATTTTGGTCTCCAGAACCATGAGAAAATAAATTTCTGCTAAGCCATCCAGTTTGTGGCGTTTTGTTAAGGTAGTCCTAGGAGACTATATAAATCAGAAGATATTTTAAAGATAGAAAAGGCAGAATTTCACTGTTTAGACATTAGGAATGAGGGAGAGGAAAAAGTCAAAGATCTCTAGGTTTTCTGAATTAGCAACTGAGTGAAGCATAGTACCTTTACCAAGGTAGAGAGTACTGGAAGAAAAATGAGGGCAGCAGTGGTGGGTAAAGAGGGGAAAAGATAGTGAAATAAGTTTTAGACACGGTGAGTTTGAGATTTCTGTGAGATATGTGAGTGGAAGTGTGGGATAGTCAGTTGGAGTTAAGTCTATGGAATAGAAGCAAGAGCCACAGTGGGGATTGAATTTGAGCTTGTCAACCACAGATGATAAATGAAGCCATATGAAGAGATGAAATTGCTCAGGGAGAGAATACCGTCAAAGAGAATTGGTGACCAGGACAGTCCCAGAATCTCTTCCAATATTTAATGTGTAGGTAGAGCTGGAAGAACGGACAGGAGAAATTGATGAGTGAGCAAAACAAGAGAAATGGGAAAATCTAGACAGTGGGGTTTCACAGAAGTCAAGGAGACATGATACAGCAGGGGAATGTTCAGGGAAATCAGAAAAGGCCAGAAAATATCCTAAGGATTCAGGGTAATAGAAGTCATTGGTAATTTTACACAAGCAGTTACAACAGTGGATAAAATCCAAATTGGAATGTTTGAGAAGTGGGTAGAAAGTGATAAAAGGGAGATCGCCGTAACAAATAAGAGTAATAATGAAAAATTTTGCAATGCTGTGAGAATTACGAAAATGTGACTGAGACAAAAAGTGAGCTGTTGGAAAAGTGGCACCGATAGATTTGCTTGACACAGGATTGCCATAAACCTTCAGTTTGTGAAGAACACACTATCTGGGAAGTGCCGTAAAGGGAAACAAGGTAGGCCTGTATAACATTGTATAATTTAAAGTGAACAGTGATCATGCGATACATATATATACTACAAAATGCTTACCACAGTTACTGTTCTCCACCTCACATAATTATAATTTGGCTGTGTTGTGGGGATAAGAACATCTAAAATTTCCTCTCAGCCCAACTTTCAGGTATACAGTACAGTATTTTTAACTGTGGTCACCATGCCGTACGTTAGATCCCTGGAACTTACTCATCTTATAACTGAAAGGTAGTACCTTTAGACCAGGAATTTCTCATTTCCCTCACCACTCAACCCATGGCAACTACCATACTACTCTCTGTTCCCAAAGTCTGATGTTCTGAGATTCCTCATATAAGTAAGATAATATTTGTCTGGCTTATTTGACTTACTGTAATACCCTCCAGATTTACTCATGTCACAAATGGCAGGTTTCTCTTTTTTATGGCTGAATAATATTCCATTTAATATATACACAACATTTTCTTTTCCCGTTCATCTGTCAGGGCACACCTAGACTGTTTCCATGTCTTGGCTATTGTGAATAATGCTGCAGTGATCATAGGAGTACAAATATATCTTCAGGATAGTGATTTCATCTCTTTAAGAAATACTCGGTAGTGCAATTGCTGGATCATATGGTAGTGTGCTATTTTTAATATATATATTTTAAAAGATTTATTTATTTGAGAGAGAGAGCATGCACCTATGAGTGGAGGGGGGGGTGGGGATAGGGAGCAAGAATCTCAAACAGACTCCCCACTGAGCAGGGAGCCAGTGCTGAGTGAGATCTCGTGACCCTGAGATCACAACCTGAACCAAAACCGAGAGCTGGATGCTTAACCAACTGAACCACCCAGATGCCCCAGTAGTTCTATTTTTAATTTTTTGAGGAACACTGTGGGGTCACTAAAAACCTATTAGAATGAATAAATGAGTCCAGTAAGAGTGCAGGATACGAGGTCAGGAGGAAATTGTTTTTCTATACATGAACAATGAACAATTGAAATTGAAATTAAACAATTTCATTTACAATATAAATAACAAAATACTTAGGGATAAATTTAACAGAAGAGAAGCAAATCTTGTACTCTGAAAAATATAAAGCATTATTGAATAGAATTAAAGAATAAAAATATTCTTAAAGGGAATTAAAGAAAATAAAGACATCCATGTTCATGGATCAGAAGACCTAATATCATTAAGATGACAATACTTAGGGACCCCTGGGTGGCTCAGCTGGTTAAGCGGCTGCTTTTAGCTCAGGTCATGATCCTATGGTCCTGGGATCAAGTCCCAGATGGGGCTCCTTGCTCAGTGGGGAACCTGCTTCTCTTTCTGCCTGCACTCCCCCTGCTTGTGCTAACTTTCTCTCTGATTTAAAAAAAAAAAATGATAATACTTAATATTATTGATTTACAGACTTAATGCAGTCTATCAAAATCCCAGTTGGCTTTTTGCAGAAACTGACAGTTGCTCCTAAAGGAAATGGACCCAGAATTCCCAAAATGATCTTGAAAGAGAATACAACATCTAGACCTTATTCCAGACGTGCATTTAAATTTTCCAGAAGTGAAGTTCAGCTGTGTCTTTTCCAAAATTTCTGCAGGTGACTTAGCTTTGTGCCCCAAATGAAAATCATTGCTACAAACTGTTGGAATGGCCCAGAAATGTTAATACTTTGCCCCCTAGAACTTTGTCTTCATTTCCTCCTCTCTCCAGAAGTAGCACAGATATTTTATCTGAACATGTATTTTGAATATGGTCCCAGAACTATGGGAAAACACTACCTTGGCTTGTCTAAGTGGGTAAGCTGTTGTTTTAAATCTTTTTTTTTTTTTTTAAGATTTTATTTATTAATTTGACAGAGACCACAAGTAGGCAGAGAAGTTGGCAGAGAGAGAGAGAGAGAGGAGAAAGCAAGCTCCCTGCTGAACAGAGAGCCCGATGCGGGGCTGGATCCCAGGTCCCTGGGATCATGACCTGAGCCGAAGGCAGAGGCTTTAACCCACTGAGCCACCCAGGCGCCCCAAGCTGTGGTTTTAAAGTATCTAAGGGGTACCTGGCTGGCCCAGTCGGGAGACATGCCACTCCTGATTTCAGGGTCCTGAGTTCAAGCCCCATATTGGTCAT